TTAGGAGGGATTTTCTCTTGGATCCGGATTCCGGAATACCTTAGTGGAATATTCCTCTTAGGTGTCGTCCACAGATGCTTTGGTCTGTGTGAGTTAAGAGTTGTCGGGCCAGTTGGATTGGGTTAAGCAGATCCTTCTCTGCTCGAATTTTGTACTTTTAGACCCAGACCATCTCACCAATAACTACACCCTGCCCAGTGTCATCTCAACAGATTTAAAACCGTTCTCCACACGCTTACCGGTTCAATCGCCTCGGCCACCAGTCGCTGTGGTGTGAACCTTAGTTCTTGTCTTGAAATTCCTACATTTCCCAGATATATTGTGTTCTGATCATTAGTTGTCATTGTTATTATTGTCATTAACACAGTGTAGAAACGGCATTTTTCTGAGCTTAATTCTCGGTCTGAGCACACCAAGCCCACGTCAAAACAACCCCCGAATATACACAAGGTATATTAACGCCCAAAAGGAAGTCAGGAACACTTGTACAGCGCTTCATATATATATAGCGGAAGCGGCAATAACTTGGGAAATTCTAACGCGTTCTGGATGCGCCATGGGCAACCGACATTCGGCCAATACTGGGTCATGATTGGTTGTTGAATCTGGACCCTCGACTAATCAGAACTCGGCTTGATGCCGGACCGACAAGTGTCCTGAATTCTTGGCCGNAGTCACACTGAGAAATCAAATCCCATGACAAGAAATCGTACTCTACAAGGTTCTGGTTAGTTTGTTTCTCAGAAAACTGAAACAGGGAATTCTGTCATAAAGTCTGTCCATAGAAACAGATATTTCTTTCTTAGTAAGCTAATCTCCTGGGGGTGGTACGTACTCTGAAGTTTAAGAAATCTTTACGAAGCAGTGAAGTGAGGGTAAAATAGCACGATGTCAAAAGGTGAAGGCTTTCAACGTCCAACAGATTTTAAGTGGTCCGTGTCAAGACAAAACTACTGTCTAACCTATTCAGGGACGTGGATTGACCTCTGACTTCAAACTGAATGGCAAACTATGGAGCAATCACTGTACTAAGCGATAATGTTGCCATTTATATGGAATTATACTACACATTACCTGAAGGTATGCATACCAGAAAAAGAAATTCTCGGATCTCGAGTGCGCATTCTGAGCCCTTGGGATCTATCCAAAGATGTACACCAACTGAACCGGCAACCACTATGAGCAGCGATTTTTCAGTGAGACGGAACTCATTGAAGTGACATGACCGAGCAATCAGTGTATGGAAACGATTTGTCTACGCATGCCAAAGTACTTCGTACAGGAGACCACATGCAACTTATATCTGCGTAGGATTTATCACCGAGTAGTCGCAGTTCGACCTCAGTGAATTCCAGTTGTAGCGAAAGGCCTTTAGTGGCTGATCTTTTCTGAACCGGATCAAGGGCTTTTCTGTATGGAGTGTACAGCATAGAAAGTTCACGTCCAGGCTTGGTTGTTGCATGGAACTTTGGGTCGTGAGATGCTCCAGGCCTTCTACTTCACAACCTCATAGTCAGCTATGCTGCAAAAGATTCCCATGAGAATATGACACAGTCACCAGAAGTACATTCGATTTAAGTGAGATATGATTATCGGCCTCCAACAAACCTTGTAGAACAAAATTTGGTGTACCTACAATACGAAATAGACCGTAGAATAGTTAGCAGTTGGACAGAACCGTTCTTTAGACAGAGGAAATTGCTGTTTTCAAAACTCATCTATGAAATAACCTGTAGGAATCTAGGAAAGCCCTTTTACCCATGCGTGGCTTTCAAACTGTCTGAAGAACGACCAGTCTGTTGCGGAGCCGTTATAAACCAGTCTCTCTCTCCCCCTTGGAAGCGTTTCTTCGCAAAGGTAATGACAGTTTACCTTATGGACACTGATCGATGCATAATAATCCTAGTAATCGTGTGGGAAACACCAATAGTGCGTGGGATAGAGGCCGGCAACGGCTGATTTGTGACGGAAAATACACCGTTCAAATACTGCAGACACCGGAGAATGACTGTGATGGTGTACGCAGTTCAAGGTCGCCCACGATTACCGAATTTTGATGTCATATGAGTTATAGGATACATCCTCCCAATGGAAAGTACACAGCATTTAAAGTCATACAGTCATTCCAGGTGTGATAAGATCCACAAATTTAACTGTGCAAATGACATAAAATACCTCACCGTGGTTTCTCTGCTGTTCTTCGCAGGAGCACCGCACTTCGCAGCATTATCGAACAAACTGTGTCAGAGATAATTCGAAATATCATAGCTGAAGCCAATGCGCACGAAGTTGATCTGACCACGGAATCTCTACGAGTCGTTTGCCTACCTCCAAAGAAGTGATACGAGTCATGGAACAACAAAACAGGGAGATCGGCGGAAGCAAGATCAACCACTTCCACAAGATGACTATGCACCATTCACCTTTTTCACAGTATGATTTGTAGCAACCAGATTTCTTCGAACAAGACTGGTAGGTTAGCTGGCAAAAACAGGTAACTGACATGAGAACCGGCGCCTATCTTTTCAAAAATATACGAGGTTGTTTTTCAAAACGTCTTCTATTGCTGGAGGGACCAGATCACTCATTGGTTGGAGCGTGAATTTGCTGACCGGAAGGTCCGTGATTCGAATCCTACCTCTGCCACTCGACTCCCCCTGTCTAGGCTTGAGCAGCCTGGCAGTACCGCAGCATTCTTACTTCCCTTGGGTGGCATAACAGCAATACACCGGAAGGATATTATACGTGGACGATTTTTATTATCATTATAAGAAAGATGTGAATAGTATCGTTCAACTAGGTAACCAAATACGCCACAACCAGATCAGTGCACTTGGATGAAATCCAATGTGTAGAGGAAGGACGGGAAATTTTCTATTCAGAGCAAAATCAACTGAAACGACAATTATTGGCCACGTTGGGAAAGGCCAAGTCGGTTGGTTCGCCTACTGCGGTTAGTCGGCTCCATTTGGAAATGAGGATTCCTATAAAACGGACTGCAGACGGAAACGCATTGTTTAATCGATTTTGTAGGAGTGACGGGGTGTCACAGCAATAATTAGTTCTCACTTTAGTTGCACATGAATACGAACTACTTTTAAAGGGACATTGGGGAACGATAGAATTCAACGAAAAAAAGGAAATCAAGTGTGGTACTACGTGCTTCATGGGCTCATCGTTGCGTTCAATAAACGACATGTTCCTCATTAAGAACAGCAGTACATTCCATTTCGATGGTTCAGTGACTACGGCCCACCCGAACTGTCACAAAAACCTCTTCGTTGGGAATACACGTGTTGCTCAAGCAGAAGTTGTCAGTTGGTGAGAGCATAGGCCTTGGTTGAAGACATGCACCAGGGGACTACAAATTTATAAATGTTTCCTCTTTCCGCGATTAGGCTGAGTAACCCTCAAGTTGTCTGTTCGTGCGGTAAAGCGTTGGCGCTCGTTACCAAAGTCCCAGAAATACAGATATTGTAATGCGCCCACCGTGATCGAATCACTGGGACCGTACAACGATGTCTCGATGTATAAACTTGAAAATCAAACCAACCCTTAGATACAGCCTTTCATTTGCTGTGCAGAACTTTTTGCTGCGGAAGCGTCAACGCGCCGACTGTCCCTATGCTTCCGCCTCTGTAGTCATTGATGACTTCATTTTGTTCACAGTACACTAAAAAGGATGGCATCCACATTTCTTTTTCAGTGTTTTTTTAAGACATCGTTCCCTCTCACTCAGCGTATCAAAGAGTTGTAGGTTCATCTATTGTTAGAATCCAAATTTTGCAATGTCCGGATCTTCTTCCGAAGAATGGTCCGCTTAAATAAATTAATTTGGAAGTCGGGCGCTGCAAATCAGATNAGCAATAATTTGTTCTCACTTTAGTTGCACAAGAATACGAACTACTCATTAGCGTATTGTGTTTTTTAAAAGGACATTGCGAAACGATAGAATTCAACGGAAAAAAAAGGAAGCCAAGTGCGGTACTACGTGCTTCATGGGCTCATCGTTGCGTTCAATAAACGACATGTTCCTCGTTAAGAACAGCAGTATATTCCATTTCGATGGTTTAGTGACCACGGCCGACTGTCACAAAAAGCCTGTGTTCGTTGGGAAACACGTGTTGCTCAAGCAGAAGTTGCCAGTTGGTGAGAGCATAGGCCTCGGTTGAAGACATGCACCGGAAGACTACAAGTTTATAAATGCTTGACCTTTTCACGATTAGGTTGAGTAACCCTCAAGTTGTTTGTTCGTGCAGTAAAGCGTTGGCGCTCGTTACCAAAGTCCCATAAATACAGATATTGCAATGCGCCCACCACGATCGAATCACTGGAACCGTACAACGTTGTCTCGATGTATAAACTAGAAAAGCAAACCAACCCTTAGATACAGCCTTTCATTTGCTGTGCAGAACTTTTTGCTCCGAAAGCATCAACATGTTGGCCGTCTCTATGCTTCCGCCTCTGTAGTCATTGATGACTTTTCATTCTGTTCACAGTGCACTAAACAGGATGGCATCCACATTCCTTTTTCAGTGTTTTTTAAGACACCATTCCCTCTCACTCAGCGTATCAACGATTTGTAGGTTAATCTGTTGCTAGAATCCAAATTTTGCAATATCTCGACCTTCTTTCGAAGAATGGTCCGCTTAAATGAGTTAATTTGGAAGCCGGGCGCTGCAAATAAGGTGACGTTTTCTTGATGAACGGCTAGAAAGCCGATTACACTCTACTGATGCATTGACCTCGTCTGTAGCAAGCTCAAGCAAGCATTTAGAATCCTTGCGCAATAAATTGCAGTTCTGGTGGTGTGGTCGCTTTTGATACAATAATGAGGATAGTAATGACACAATACGAGTGGACTAATTCCGATATCGTTGGGCTGACGGATGGAACGAGGAAAATCGTGGCGAGGATGATCACAACCGTGGCAGAACTCTTTAGAAATGGAGTTCACAGCATCCTTCGGAAGCTAACACAGCAAACAAAGCATCCGCATTCCGATCCGGGAGATATCTCCGTAGGAGTTCGAAGGTACATCCAAAGATTGCACATCACGAATAAGGAAGCACTGTTATGGCGTTCGAGGGAATCGAATCAGTTACGTGGACCAAACCGTTAGCGTGAGTCATCCTAGACTGCTGACGAGTCGAATGAATGACGCACAATCGATGACACGGATGGCTTGTGCATGTGACCTTTCAGTTCATCAACTCTAACCAGAAGGAACCGTGTACGCGAAGCCCACACATTTACAGGACACTGCATTAGTTATGACAGTTCTGCACCCGTCCACTGTGTGCAAGGCTCAATAAGGGCGGGATGACCTGTTGCCACGTTTGTTGCAGGACTCTATCGATCGGTACTAATCCAATGAACTTGAAAATTTGCTACTTGACTTTGGCAACAGTACCCGCTTGTAAGCTTATGGTTGCAACGATATACGTGGAAACTAGTATGTGACGTAATGGTGAGTCACACATACTATCGACGAGGTGATCATTTTTTCGCGAGCGGTTGTAATCGAAGAGAACATGATCAACAGACGATAATAAAGATGCAACGTCGGTAGTGTGAGGAGATTTGGGATTTTTCGTGTGGAGAGTTCGTCCTGTAAATGAAGCCAATCTATGCTGAAAAGCACTGTACAGCTGTTTCGTCCGTATTGGGAATCATCAGCAGTGCGCATCTAACGAAACTCCAGAGGACGAACCCACGAACTCCTGGCTAGTTGAACACTTAACCTTCTGGCCACGGGCGGCTGATCAACAGTGTGATTAACTCGCACTTAGACAGCATATAGCGCAGCTCATGCTTCAATCACGGGATCCACACCACGCGGTCACACGTGTTGACTGGCTCCTCGAGCAACGACTTCTCGAATAGAAGTTTTACTCATCGAGTGAAGTTTATTCTTCCACTGAGCTCCTTACAGATTGTTGGTAGTGAGGAGATTTGGGATTTTTGCAGAAAGTTCGTCCTGTAAGTGAAGAAGCACTGGCTTCTCGGCTTCTGAGCATAGATTGGCTTCAGTTACAGGACGAAATCTCTGTAAAGATGCAGCGTATTTCCAATTGAACTGGAAGCTACAAGATGATGTAGAAGTACGCCGTGTATCCGATGCCCTGTACTCATTTCAGGGGAGACTCGACATCTGTACAACCACATTCTCTCAAAGGAAACTACTTACAAGGTTGCTGAAAACACTTTGACAGCCCATGACCGGTTTCGCCCTTCTTGGGGCTCATCAGGTAGGCGCAGCCCCCGAGTTTCCGTCAACCTTATGATCTACTTGGGCTGTCAAAGTGTTTTCAGCAACCTTGTGAGTAGTTTCCTTTATGAAAATATACTACCACATTCTCTCAACTTTAATTTACTGGGCTTGACAGGCACAGTAACCTACAGTAAGCACATGGAAAACCAAATTATGGACAAACCCGGGTTACGATAACTGGATACAATAAAATACGGACTGTAGCATAGCTGAAGCCTTTGAGAACTAGAGTAGACCACTTTGGATCAGGAGCATCAAATGCGCAAGTCAGTTTTGAATATCATTGAATATGAAGAGAAATGCACGTTACCAGCAATTTGTTTCACCATCACGACAATTTTCGTAGTTGTTGACATGCTAAAGAAGCTCAACAACCAATGTTGAATTTTATCGTCTACCAAACAACGGTGCCGTAGACGGCCTACAAAGGAACTACTTTATGTATCCGGCCACTCGAGTGACATTCACTACACACCCTAACGACACCCTGATGATGTCACATTGATTGCTGATGAAATGCATGCAACCCAAATACCCAGCTCAGAGAACAAACCAACGACCATCTACGCTATTCGAGCTACCAACATTCCCTTTAAAACCAAACCAGCAGTAGAACGTTCGTAACATCTTTATCATGAAACTCCGGTAAAGTTGGTGTTCACAAACGGAGTTTCACATCATGGCGGCCTGACTAGCGCACAAAGGCTAGCTGAATAATGCGGCAACTGGAGGCGTTGGGCTGCACTTGCTCAAGGCAGATCTTACATTTCAATGGGTTTTTGAAGAACTCAGGGTCCTCTAAAGTGATGTGCATGTAGATGAAACCTATCGTCTCCAGTCTGAGAGAGGTGCGCTCATAATCAGCCGCATGTTGGTTGGTTTGGCGTGCACGAACAAACTCTTTTTCGGTCCATGCGCACAAGCATCTAGCATCACCGGTAAGGCAGCTTGACTGAGACCCACCATGTGACAAAGGTACAGTATGCAATGGCTTCCCATATAGTGCCCTCACAGACATAAAACCTCACATTCTAGAACGAAGACCATATTAAGAGATGGATCTCGTAAATGTCTGGAATTCTGTTTGCGCAAGATACGGCTTATTGCCTGTCCGCAAACTTCGATTCTTTCGCTTTTGAGGAACCAGTAACATCAATTGTAGAGGGACTAGTTTGTGCAACCATTGGAAATTTCTAACCACTAAACAGCAATGCCTGACAAAATAGTGACGCCGCTGAGAGTGCAGACAGAGCGTTCTTGGTCAAC